ACAAAAAAATTGATCAAGTATTACAAAAAAATCTATCACGGATTACAAAAAAAAAAATAAATAAATAAAAAGAAAAAAAAAAGAAAGAATTCCGTACGGACTCGCCGATTCACTGTTCGGACTCGCCGATTCCGCACAGTGAATCGGCGATTCACTGTACAGAATCGTCCGGTTCTCTCTAGAACCGGACGATTTCCGATTTTTTAGGCGATCCGGTCCCCTTTCACGATTTCCGAGTCGAACCGAACGAGTCCGGTTCGACTCGGCGTTTTTTAAAACGCTGCATACCGCACATGCTTCAATGCTATCAGACTCCTACAGCCGTATGTGCTTCCGTGGCCGGGAAATCATGGCCCTTACAATAAGTGCTCTTAAAATTTTGCCATTTTTTTTCATAAGGGATTAATACAATTTAAGGCTATTTACTTCAGATACGAGGAGGTCTGTGCCCTTAGCCATAAAATTTAAGCCCGATGCTTCGGAATGTGTCACAAAATCCAATAATTTTGTTTTTGACTTTGAACCAGGTAAATGGCTAACACTCCGAAGTGGTCAATTTCATGTTTAATGGCCAAGGTGATTGTAATCTCCTTGTTAGAGAGATAAACAATCTTATTAGAAACTTGGTACTTAGGCTGGTCTTAATAATAACAAATACTAAATTCTTCAGATTTCTTCCTTTTGGTGGGTATAAATTCTTCAGATTTCTTCGTTTGGGTGGGTAAGCATGAGTCTGAAAACTTCGAAGTTTAAACCATGGTCTTATGGACCTTACTTCTAAACCTTCAAACCAGTGATGTGAGATTCGGTTCGGAGCATTTTGTCGGTTTAGAAAGGAAGCAATTTGATGTTTCGGGCAATTCGGAGGAAGATTTCAGAATATTTTATAAAAAATATAATATAAATAAAATTTACTTTTATGTATAAAATAATTTAGAAAAAAAAAAAAGAAAAAAAAAAAGACAATCAATTATGTACTTCGGCCGAAAAGGGGGAAGCTTCGATCGAGGAGGCTGAATCAGAAGTGGGCCGAAGCAGGCCAAAGCTGATGCACCTCAACTTCGCTTCGCCTCGATCTAGAAAACTTTGGCCTCTTCGGTCAAGCAATCCGATAACATTTCTTTCAAGCATGGAAGCCAAAACCCTTCATGTAATAGTATGGTTAAAAGGGATGTCAACATATAATTAAGGGATCGGATGGTGATAGGGAGAGAAAAGCTAGAAGAAATCAATCGATAACATTTCTTTCAAGCATGGAAGCGAAAACCCTTCATGTAATAATATGGTCAAAAGGGATGTCAACATATAATTAAGGGATCGGATGGTGATAGGGAGAGAAAAGCTAGATGAAATCAATCGATAACATATTTAGTTGACCTTCTCTCACTCCACTGAACCTTGTGTATTTGACATCTCCTAGGATATAGGTGTTTGCTTGCTGTATAGCATCTCGTAGGAGACCTGAATGTTGCATGTCTGTTGTTTGGATTGCAAAAAGATATGTGGCCCATAAAGTATATAATATAATATATTTCATATTATAATGCTATATATTAATATAATATCGTATTATAATATTATAATCATATTATATATTATAATATATTAATTATTATATATAATATATATTTTACAAGGAGTGATTTTATGCAATGGTTTTATAGTTATATGATGAAATAATCTTCAAAAATGATTTTGGAGTCATTTGACCCCAAGTTTTAAATATACACTCTTTTCATTCTAATGAACAATCACAAAAAAACAAAATTTGAAAAAACGCCTTAGAAAGTTTTTGTTTTGGCTCAATTAATATATACCATTTATTTTAGTGAGATGCTTAGATCTAGGTCTAAGAATGATTTTTTTCCCTTTTCAAATTTTTTAAATAGCTTTATTATTATTAGAATAATAATCTTAAAAAATTAATTTTGAATTCATAAAGGCCTAGATATTTATATTCACTAAATGGATAGTCTAGATTCATTGTTGGAGGGGACTCATTTTGACCATATCTATGATGTAAATTGAATTTTATCTTTTTGAAATTGATTATTAAGATGAAGAGAGTATATCTGCAAAATTTGAGGTTAAAAAAATGTCACTAAATAGAAGTTAATTATAATTTAAGACAGGTGCCATGCAATTATTCCCATTACTTATATATTCATATTACATAATTATTATATACAAATTACATATGTATGGTAATATATAGTTAATTGTGATTTAAATAATTACAATAGTTATATATCATTACCGTAAATACTCTATATAATTATCACATGTAATTAATGTTGAGTATATATTATTTTATATAAAATATTATAATATAATATCATGAAATATTATAATATTATATAAATTAATTATATATTATAGTATACAATTAATTATAAGTATAATATTAATTATATAATAGGTATGGTTTATATAGAGCCTAGGCTCTAAACAATCAAAGGATAGCCTACCTTCAAATAGTGTCGAGAAATGTAGTTTTAATACTAAAATCTTTGTGATAGCTTTAAAATAAATTTTCATCTTTATCTATAAATTTTAATGCTTCAAAAATAGTGTAGATCGACATATCTATGAAAACTGGAAAATCTTGAAAATTGATAGTCCAAACATGCGTTACAAAATATACTATTTCTAAAACTTGAAATCCATAAATCCATTATATCAATGAAAGTTACATCAAATATTTTGAAAACATCAAATCCAACAGTTGGTATCATAGCACAACAAGTGGTATCAGAGCGTGGTTTTGGATTTTCAGTATGGCAGTATAGGTTTGGAATGCAAAATTCAAGGTGGAGAAATTTAATGGAAACATTAGTTTTTAGAAATAATGATAAAAAAATTTATTTGGCAAAGAATAATTTATAAAACTACCTAATGGATGTTGGTATAGTGACCAGGTGGTTTTGATATCAAGGTAAAGACTCTTGGATTTGATGCTATCCAAAATCACCCATATAGAGAAATCTCATATTATATGGGATTGAGATATTATCATATTATGGGATTGAGATATTTTCATATTATGTGGGATTGAGATATTCTCATTTTTTAAGGAATTGATATTAATATTGATAAGTTTCTTAAAGGAAATAAAAATCAAATAGAATTAAGACTTTTGAATATATCTTTTGATCTTTTGAGATGTATATAATATCAATATGAAGTTTCCTATTTAGTATGGATTCCTAATCTTATATATATGGGATGAAAATGCAGTGAATTTGTGTGCCCTATTTGGGTCACTATATAGGAATAATGGTTCTTCTAGAGAGACGGAGGCAGAGCCTTCTGTGTATAAAATGCAATTAATGCAATTTCCTCTTAGAGAAGAGATATGTAATTTTCTCTTATAGAAGAGAGCTTCGTATGGAGAGAAACATTGTGATGGTGCCTATGTGCCCTATTTGTATCCCTATATGGGAATGATGATTCCTTTAGAGAAAGAGGAAGACAGAGCCTTCTGTGCATAAGATGCAATTTTCCCTTAGAGAAGAGAGCTTCGTATGGAGATAAACATTGTGATGGTGCCTCTTTTAGACTCCCGAAGATTAAGAAGTTTGTTTCATGTAGAGAAGCGGCTCCATAGAGATTTTGGGTTGTTTCCCTTTTTAGTTAAAGATTTTGGGTTATTTCCCCTTTTAGTTAGAGATTTTGGATTGTTTCCTCTTTTAGTTAGAGAGAAAATCAGTTTCTTATAGCTCTCGATATTGTCAGTAATGGCTGCTAGAAGTAAAGAGAAGGAAGGAAGGGAAATTGGTTTAAAAGGGTTTGCTCGACATGTCTTTTATGATGTTCGTTTTCCTTTTTAGTTAAAGAGAAAATCAGTTTCTTGTTGCTCTTGGTATTGTCGGTGATGGCTGCTAGAAGTAAAGATAAGGAAGGGAAAGTGGTTTAAAAAGGTTTGCTCGACATGTCTTTTATAAGGTTCATTTCCTATTTTAGGTAGAAAGGAAGTCAGTTTCTCGTTGCTCTCGGTGTTGTCGGTATTGGCTGCTAGAAGTAAAGAGAAGGACGGGAAAGTGGTTTAAAAGGGTTTGCTCAACGTGTGTTTTATGAGGTTTATTCCAAAATCTTTGATGTTTCTAAAATATTTGATGTAATTTTTATTGGTATAGTAGATTTCTGTTTCTCGTGCTTTGGATGTAGCCCTTTGGGGTGAACTATGTAAATCTTTGTGCTTTATGCTTTATTTCGTATATTTTATGTGCCTTTAAAGCTTCCGTACACAACAAGTGGTATTAGAGTACAACAATTTGTATAGAACCTACGTCTAAACAATCAAATTAGATTTTATCGTATAGGTCTAAACAATCAAATTAGATCTTACCTTCAAATAGTGTC